CACCGTATTAGGTTTTCTAGCTCTGGTAACATCCACTATGGCATTCACATCTGTCCAAAGACTTATTTTCTGAAAGAGCCTGAATGTTTCTACTAATTGATGTCTGCTGCCTTGTGAATACTCCTTTCTACCTTCCTTCGCCTTATCCCCACAAAAAAAGTTGTTTGAAGGAGAGAACATGGAGCTGTCTAGTAAAGTACTGTGAACAGACGTAGCAGTTTTGCCTATAGCATGATCTTAGCAAAACTTTATCTGGAACTTCAACAGCATTAAGACAGAATGTTTTTTATTTATTCCTTTATTTCCACCCCCATGCCACAAGGCTATTATATTGGACTAATTTTGAAATCCAAACACTGTAAGATTGTTTATACCTTTACCACGTGCCAGAAAACATCTTCATCCATCTTTTTCTAGTTTAGAGTCTCACACAGGAAACCTAACAATCACAGACATTGTTGGAGTGTGATTAGCAATCTTCCAGGTGCCTCTGAGGTTAAATGCTGTACTTATTTCTGTGCTTTTTCTACTTTGCCTGATAGCATCAAGACAGAATGCCATTACAACTATTTTTTATAGCTTCACCTGTTGATTTTTTTCCTTGTTTTCTTATTGGTGCTAATGTAGGAGTATCTCATGTTGTGGCAGATGCTGGAAGTGCACTAGAATCACTGTTTTGGTGGGGTTTTTTTGCCTTTGTGTGAGATAATCCTTTTCACTGCTCAGTTATGTTCAGTAATAAATTGTAATTGTCGATTACTCAGTTTGTGGCAGAAATATTTTTAAAATATAAAATGACATGTTAAAGATACACCGTGATAAAAGTACAGAGGTAAGTTGAGCAGAGATGGCTTTTCTTGACTTCTGTTGTCATAATCTTAGTAACTTTTTGTTTATTGCAACAGTATGAACAAGGAAACAATATTACAGGTAGTATACTATAATAGACCTGGACATTATCTCTTTTTCATGTATGTTTTGGGTTTTGCTTTTGAACAGTGCTTTTAATTGTTCTGGGCAGTAATAAGCAAAAAGATGAGCCTAAAACTTTCCCTGTGAATTGGTTGGGGAGGTATATGTGGAACTAAGTTTCTCAGGATGTGTAATAACCAGTCATCTGCAATAGCCGTGTGAAAGTTAATGTGCAGTAGACACTCTGAGTATTTATTTAAGTGAATGTAAATGCTCTCCTTTTCATAGCTGCAGCTTTCAGTTAGTCATGATACTGTAGGACTTTTTCCAAAGGCATGTTTTTACCCAACAGCATATAGCAACTAATTCGAAGTCAATATCTACTTAGGGACTTACAAATTCAGGGTTACTCGTATGTGCTCTGTATGCATGAGAGATTACTGTATTGGAAATCCCTGGGGGAAGAATGGGGAAGGAAATAGTCCAGAATAGAACACATCTACCTGCTTCAGTGAAACCACTTAAAATCTGGAGTAGATCAAGGTTCCATCTTACTCTCCAGTAAAAGTATTGTTTTCTGCCCAGTTAGTTCATGGAGTTACGCATTTTTCTGTTCCTTCTAAATTAGGTTGTATTTGTAAGAGTATTGTGAAGTGGGGTGTGAAGGAGCCCTAGGGGAAGAATCAAAACTCAACTAGGAAAACACCATTTGGGGCTGTTAACTTTCTGTCATGCAGACAGTGTCAGTGTCTGCCAGAAGAGAGGCAATGGAGTTGAGGGTTTCCTTATTTTTTCTGAATTAGTGTATCCTTCTGGAATAGCTGTTGGTGCTCAGTTCGGTTTTGGAGGAGGGAGTCTGCTGTGCTCTGTGACTAATTTCTTATGTGTGTTTTTCTTCCCCCTTTTAAGTAGACATTAAGGACATAACTTGCAGCACTAGATAGCTGAAGGTACACCTGGCCATAACCGGAATGCGTGGTATGAGCTCCCCTCAGAATGGTTCCTAAGCCTTTCTGCTTGCTGATTGGCATGGTCTTTGCTGCCCACATTTCAGCCCTCTCTTTGTGCACAAATTGCTTAATTAGGATAGAGGAGGTAAACATTAGTTTTGTGAGAAACATCTGTACTGAAGAGTAAGAATTAGTCCTATTATGACCTGAGGAGAGGTTTTGAATTGGGCTGTAGGAGGTTTAACTCTTTAGAAAGACCTTTTCAAATGATTGTCAGCCTGTGATTCTCTGTAGAATGTATTACTTTGAGTTTGTTTCCTTGTTCATACTTTGAGTTTTGTACATTATAGGTAAACCTTTGCGTATAAGAAAATTAATATTTTGGATTTGCATTTTTGCCACCAATTATGTTACACTCTGCTAACCATTCATCAGAATTTAGTTTTATCTCTTTTTTCTGACTTAAATCCCTCTAAAGTTTCACCTTTGGTGTTCCTACTGGTAATGTTAGTAGGAATTTCTTAACCAGTGGGGTTTTGTTCATTTTTTTGAGAATAAACAATGAAGAAAGTTGATAGATTTGTGTGGAGAGTATTATACATATGTGTAGTCGATGTATGAAGTTAGTTTTTTAGTCCATGTACTGTGATTATGGTTGTTTTAAACTTTAATGGAGATTTTAGTCTTTTTCAGTGTTGTGTGTGGTGTCATGATCTGGGGACACTCTTCAACTGCTGATTTTCCTGTTAGATTTCAAATGTCTTTTTGTCACTAGAATGGGGAATAAAACACGTCTGTCTTTACTAAATATGCTCTAAGTTTATCTGTGCTTAGATATATTGTGTGTGGGTTTTTGTGTACTAGCAATACAGATTATGGATACTTTTGCTATATCAGTAATATATTCTGGTAGCCACTGAAAGAGTCCTTTTATTCAGCAGTGGTATAACACTTTATGGCAAGCCTGTATGGCAATGACCTCGGTGTTAGTAAAACAGAAGTCCAAAGATGGATTTGCTCTGTAGGACTGATCCCTATTGCTGTCCTCTTAACTTACAGAGTAAATGAAACATTGCAAATATTTTAAAATATGTAGTGCCTAGAATATAATGAAGATCCTGATGTTAAATTGCTTTTCTATGGCTCTGCAAAACTGCTGATCAGAAAATTGAGCCTAACCTGCCAAAGCTGGTATCTTATGTATTTAAGAAGTGTAGTCCAATAGTCCTAACAGGGCAGCTCCACTCAAAGGATTTTCAGGATCCATGCTAGAAAAGATGATTTGTACTAACAATTAGGAGAGCTTACTTCATTTTTATGAGAAGCAATGTAGATGCATGAACTACCGTGATGTGTTTGTAACATCAAAACTGTTTCACAGGCCTAATTAAGTAGGCAGCAATGAATTATATCTGAATGATGCTGAAGTTGTGAGTGCTGGACTTTGGTTTTCTGTTGGGTGACACTGTTCTTGTATTTTTTAACCTCTACAGTTTGTCTCTTTATAGCTATAATAAGGAGCATAATAATAGTGAAAGAATTATCTTTTTCGGAAGAAGGGTATTGCAGACTTTGGCTAGAGTTGTGATATTGTTGTTGGATTTTTTTGACAACAGTTCATTGAAGATTTGCAATGCTGTGACTTGCTTAGTGAAACTTTACTATATGAAAGCTGTAATGGAAGGCTGGCTCTGGGACTTTCCCAGGGGTGGCAGACCCAGCTCAGATCCTTTCCCCATAGCTTACTTTTACAGCACCTCTCTTCCTTGTTCCAAGACTTGAGTGACAGGGCAAGGCTTTGTTGGAGAATGTGGAGGATAATGTTCAGGCTCTGCTGCTTCCAAAGTGTCAGCCCAGAAAAGTACAGGGCAAGGCACAGAGTTGTTATTGTAGAGGTTACAAAATTAGTATTGTAGGAACTTCAGGATTATCAATACCTGGTAGTCCTGATGGTTATGAACGTTTAATGATGGTGTATTCATCATCAATATTGTAAAGTGAAAAATAGTATTCTGGTGGGCATTTGAAAGAAGTTAATACGTTGGGTTTTATTGCTTTCCGGTGGTAGAGCAAATAATTTCTTAACTTAATCCCTAATGCTGGAAAAAATGTAAGTGGAAAAAGTATAACCACATTCTTTGCAATGTATGCTGCACTTGGACTGAGCGCCTGGAGTGCTCCTGGGGATACGCTCTGTAGAAATGCTGGTTAGATCCTTGGTTAGATAGGCTCTGTCCAGAGAAATGTCCAGCTCTCAGTAACTGTGTAACCAATGTTGTGTTGCACTGTTGGTAGGAATTCAGGGGTGCTAGAGATGGGTTAGGAAGTACATTTGCATGTAAAGCATGATGTAAACCAAAAAGAAAGGTGAAGAAAAAAATGAATGCAGAGAAGAGAAAAAGGAGACACAGATGTTTGCAATGCGCTTTCAGGCACATGTATGTCTATGTTGAATTTGTGTATGTGTGTATATGCGTGCAATCCACTGCAGATTTCTACTGTGCAGTTACCATTTGATATTTCCAAATAAAAATAAAGCTCATTAATAATTTTAGACATTGTGAACAGTTAAAGTTGCCAACTGTTGTACTAGAAATTTATGAAGGAAGTAATACTTTCCAGGTTTGTTTTGGGATTGTGGTTTTGTGGGGTTTTATTTCCTTATCTTTTCATGCCTGGGCTTTTTTTGTGAAAAGGGATGTAAAGCATGTGTGTAAAACTTCAAAGATCTGTTATGCGATAGGTGGTAAGGCAGTGTTTTTGGATGTCCATCTGTTGAATCTGACAGATGGACACAGGAATCTAGAAGCAAAGGTAAATAGATTATTGGAATAAGGGAAAGATTGTCATGCATTTATGTGTAAGAGATGCTCCGTTAAGCCCAGTCTGCACGTGGTATAGATTTGATAATGCCTTAGAGGTGCATATCTGTAGCTCAGCTCGGGTTTTGGGACTTGAAAGTGCTAGATGCAGTCTCTGATATCAGACAAAACAATATCAGATGTGTACAGGATTTCATATTTTCTTTTTTGCTTTGAAAATTTTTGTGGCATTAAAGGAGTAACTTGTGAGAACTTTTTGCAAAGTCTAAAGAGGTAAAATAAATTGTTCTTTCCTCCCTTTCTTCTTTCACTGTAGGATCCCGTCTCCGCCAGGAGGATTTTCCACCACGGATTGTTGAGCATCCTTCAGATGTCATAGTCTCTAAAGGAGAACCAACAACTTTGAACTGTAAAGCTGAAGGACGGCCAACTCCTACTATTGAGTGGTACAAGGATGGAGAGAGAGTGGAAACAGACAAGGATGATCCGCGCTCCCACCGCATGCTGCTGCCCAGCGGATCTTTATTTTTCTTGCGTATCGTGCACGGACGCAGGAGTAAACCTGATGAAGGAAGTTATGTTTGCGTAGCAAGGAACTATCTTGGAGAAGCTGTGAGTCGCAACGCATCCCTGGAAGTGGCATGTGAGTAGTTTCATATGATTAGGATTGCATAAAACTTTATAAATGCTTTTTATGCTGTCATCCAGCACTTGCACACAGTAAGCAGTCTGGGAGACAGCAAACGTAGGTAAGTATGGCATTTTGTCGTTAGTTATAGCTCTTAGTCAAGGCATTCTTACATGCATTTATACAACAGCAGTGACCAGATGGAGTATGTGAATTATACTGAAGCAAGGTTCTAGCCAGTGTATAATCGTGATTGACACAAACATGGACAAGGGCTAATCTTGCTCTGAAGAATAATCTAATTTTTAAATTATGACTGAAGTTGGTTATACTGAAACTAATGTGGAAAAATACCTAACAGTTAATATAAGGTGCACTGTCTGTTTCTCTTTATCTAGTCATCTGTTACCTCAACAGAAGCAGACAGCTTCTTGGTGACTCACATTCCGTACTGCTGGAAACCTTGATATATGCTCCTCTATCATAAACATGATACAGGCCTCATTCATTATATGAATGGCAAGTGAAATTGTTGACCATTTCTCATATCATCCAGAGCAGTCTTACTCTTTATTGATTCTCTTTGTCTTAACAGAGGAGTAGTTATGGCTCTTTCAGAGACCATGTGGCATGCATGATTTGCTTCCAGTAGAGTTAGTGGGGACATTCGTTATATTCACAGAGCAAACAAGCTCATCATATATAAAATGTGTTGTGTTTGTTGGGTTTTTTTTCTGCTTAGATATTTGGGTTGAATAAACACTGATCTTTGTATTCAGAGTATCAACTAAGAGTAGCTGTTTATCTTCACATAGAGGTGTATTTTAGTAGATTTATGAATGCTCTCCTCTTGCTGGACTTCATTTCTCCCCACCAAGTTCTTCACCTGGCATTAGCTTCACTAAAATGTGTTTGACTGAAATAGCTTACTTGGTAAGAATGGATTTAAGTACACATCAGAAAGTATGTAAGCTTAAAGGGTGAGAAAAAGAAAAGCACAGAAATCGTTATTCCTGATGCAGTCTGAATACTTTTATAGCAGATGTGATGTGATCTTGAGGCTTCAGTCTTCTCATTGCAGAGAATGCTATTTTGGGGAAATATTTAGATGCTGTTATAAGCAAGAAGAACAGTTGTTCATTACCTGTCACTTGGCATAACCTAGATTCAGAACTGTTTCAAACAAAAACTGAAAAGGGTTTTGTCACACACTTAAGGCACAATTAAATGTATGTTCCAATAAAAGCATCACAGAATGTTATTTAGTTTTTGGAAGTTATTTAGGAACTGAGAAAACAACCAATGTAAGGAAGGCTGAAATCTGGGTATGACTGTAGGTTTACTGGATTATTTCTGTCTCTGTACATGTGGTTTTAAAACTGTTGACACATCGTATGAGGGTGGCATATACAAGTTAAAATCTTTATTGTAATCCTGTTGAGATTGAGACATCTGTCAAAGTTCAGAAGATCGTTCAAGTTATACCTTGAGTCCTCAAATTGAAGTAAGAGATTAATTTTAAATTTAAATGTGCTTTATATTTTGTTGGTTTTCACTGATCCCTGCTTCCATTGACTGCTGAGAGACTCTTGTTAATAATATCCTTAGTCTCTGTAGTTGCTGTCCAGAATCATAGAATGGTTTGGGTTGGAAAGGACCAACATCTAATTCCACCACCTTGTCATGGGCAGAGATGCCTCACACTAGGCCATGTCACCCAAGGCTCTGTCCAACCTGGCTTTGAACACCGCCAGGGTTGGAGCATTTACGACTTCTTTGGGCAACCTATTCCAGTGCCTCACCACCTTAACAGGAAAGAATTTCCTTCTTATATCCAATCTAAACTTCCCCTGTTTAAGTTTTAACCCATTACCCCTTGTCCTGTCACTACAGTCCCTAATGAAGAGTCCCTCCCCAGCATCCCTATAGGCCCCCTTCAGATACTGGAAGGCTGCTATGAGGTCTCCACGCAGCCTTCTCTTCTCCAGGCTGAACAGTCCCCACTTTCTCAGCCTGTCTTCATATGGGAGGTGCTCCAGTCCCCTGATCATCCCCATGGCCTCCTCTGGACTTGTTCCAGCAGCTCCATGTCCTTTTTATGTTGAGAACACCAGAACTGCAAGTGAGGTCTCACAAGAGCAGAGTGGAGGCACAGGATCACCTCCTTCAACCTGCTGGTTATGCTCCTTTTCATGCAGCTCAGTACATGGTTGATTTCTAGGCTGTGAGTGCATTCTACTGTCTCATGTTCAGTTTCTTCTCAACCAACACCCCCACATCTTTTTCCTTAGGGCTGCTCTGAATCACTTCTGTGCCTGGGATTGGCCTGACCCTAGTGTAGGACCTTGCATTTTGCTTTGTTGAACTTCATGAGGTTGGCATTGGCCATCTCTCAAGTGCGTCAAGGTCCCTCTTCATGATTGTGCCAGGCACAGAGGTGAGACTGACTGGTCTGTACTTCCCTGGGTCTTCCATTTTCCTCTTCTTGAAAACAGGGGTTATATATCCCTTTTCCCAGTCATCAAACCACTGTAGCTGGTGGCAGGCCATGCATGAACTGTATGTGAGATAGTAAAAGACTTTAAATATAATAAAACTATGTATCATTGTCAGAGCTAATTTAAAGCAGGATCATAGAATATGAAACCTGAAATCTGAAACCATAGACAAAGTTTTTCCAATAGCAACATGAACCTGACACTAAATTATTATACTGTTTTCATAGCTTTGAAATTTAACTGACTGAATTCCTTAATTAAATGGTTTAGCAGTCTAAAGCAGGCAATTCTGTTCCACTTCAACAATGCTTTTCTTTTCCTGAGCCATGCTATGGCTGTTATTACAAGAACATCTTCATCAAAGAAAAGAAGTGAATATAATGTACATTGCCTGTTTACTTAATTTTAGAGATTCTGATGGGTTTATGTTTGCTGTTTTTAAAAGCATATGGCAGTGTTTGACGTGTATCAAAGGCATCCTTTGGAGGATGACAGCAAAGCTACCTGGCTTTCCTTTGCTGTGAGACACCTTTTTATATGATTTTTGGTTCTAAATCAAGTTTCCAAGTGACTTTCAGAGAACAGTTATTTTGAGGTGTTTAATTGTTACCTTGATGACATTGTTTCTGGCCTGAGGAAGATGGGCAGCTCTGCAGCACCACATATGCTCCCTAGGGAAATGAGTTGCTGCTGACAGCCTGTTGTCGGCAGAGAGCCCTCATTCACCTGTGCTTATCTGCTGCTGAAAACTGTTGAGTTGCCTGGATAGTGCAGCCCTGTCCATGGGAGCTGTACATGCCATTGGGTCTTACTTGTGCTGTTTGTGATGGTGTTGAAAACTGCTCTTTCCACACTAAATCAAGCTGTTTTCATCACCAGAAAAAGGACGGTTGTCCTTTGCTGACAACAGGGCTTTGGATTGTTATCTGACTGTAGGTGGCCTCAAATGGTGTCATTAGTGACAAACTGCTGGTTTTTACGGGTCTAAAATGCTTGAGTCCGCTGTTTTAGTGAAAGAATCAGTAATTGGTTTACTTTGCTTATTAAATTGCCAGTTACTAATAATGTGTACTTGCAACTTTTGAATGATTTATGAAGGAAATATTTATTGGGTTTATGTATCTATTAAGTGTGCTTTTGCATTCAGATGATAAATAGTGTTAATTGTGGTTCATTCTCTTCTATTTCCTTCTCCCTCCCCAATGGGCAGTGGGATTGGAAATGTCCTGATGTATCCCTTTTTATATAAAGACAGAAGAAAAACTCCTGTGAAGTTCAGTTGGGGATTACAGTGATTCAGAACAATGTGTGACCCATCTTGAATGCAGTCATTTTGTCTGTTGTGTTTTTGGAGTGACTTTTTTGCAAGTTAAAGTCCCAAAGCACTTTTTGATGAAGTAGGAGTTAACATCTTTCCCAAATATGATGAATTTATGTACCAGCCCATCTGAAGCATTTAAGTGTGCTTTTAAATCCATTCCTATTCTGAGCATGTGCATGCAGCCAAGGGCAGATAGTTCTGTGCTGATGTATGTCCTCAGAAAAATTTCTCTGTGCCAGTGAAACTGTGAAGATCTATGTTTTGGGAAGTTACTTTAAAAACATCACTAACATATAGGATGTGCTTTTACAATTTCTTTGCCTTTAGTTTAGAAAGTCTTTATTCCAGAAGACATTTAGGGGGAAAGAGGAGTTTGTATTTGAAGGCACAGTATCGGGTTGATATGATTGATTCTGTTTCTTTTATTTTTATTTTTTTTTTTACTAGAAGCTTTCTTAGAAGGAAAAAGTAATGTGGCAAATTCTGATGTACTATTTATATGTTTCATGGTTAAATCATTAAAAATAAGCATTCCAGTACCAAAACCACTACAAAGAATCGTATTCAAAAGGGTAAAATGTCATTCTTTTGATTTTGCATATTAGAATATTTTCGTTGAGCTTGAGTAAGGGTTGGCATCAATAGAAATATGTTGATGCTCGACTTTTCTTGGGAGGATTTTAGAAAGGGAAGCAGGCTTTAAATAGTTTGATCTTTCATTAAACTTGTTTTCATATTTGAAAGCCGGAAGTTTTAAAATAAAAAACACAGTTTTCCACCACATACGAATTGACACAGTTGGACCTATGTAGTGGAATTTTCCAGTGGGAATATCAGGAGGCACATTTGTAGCTACGATTTCAGTAGCAAGCACCAGGGCACCACATGTAAGCTAGAGAAAGAGCAATGAGGGTCCTCGCACTGACTCGGGCTGCCTCTGATCTAAGGGTGAGTCAGTGGCAGCCCCCAGAGATAGCAGCTGTAGCCCCAGGTGTTAAATATGTGACAGCAGCTTGATCTATCGACCACTGTTAGAGGGGGCTTTGGCCTAAATGAAAATTCATGAAAAATTGATGAAGTCCCCAGATTATTTTTTTTCCCTTTTCCTTTTCCAGTGCTGTGCCAATGCAGCGAGGAGAGATTAAATGAGGTGTTGAATGCTTTAGTGGCAAGGAGGTTATGGTTCAGAGGTTGAG